GTACCAGGAACCGAACTCACGACCTTGAGCTTGCCAGGCAGGCGCTTTGCCGCTGAGCTAAATCCCCAGCCCCTTAGGCTTATAGGGTTCTATACAGTGAACATTTTTGTGGGTGATATCTTTATTTTTAGATATTCTCTCTAGGTACATTATTATATATGGAACTACTACTGGGTCAGAAAATATATACTGAGTTCTTGTTATAACCTGAACAGATTTAAGCTGTTTTCCTAAAGTTTTTATAGTTATATTTAGTAAGTATATACATTTAAGTGTTGTTTATCCTTTTTTTCCAGTTTTTTTTTTAGGACTGTACATATTTGCGATACATAATGATCACATTCCTCCTGGGGAGGTGGCACATGCACATAGCACATCTTAGTTCTTTGTTTGCACTCCTTCCCCCTGCATCCTCCCTTTATCTCTTGATCCCCTTCCTTTTTGCAAAAGACATGTCTCCCTTTTCCTATTATCTATCTTTTATTTTGCTTTGTATTTATAATTTGAGTTTCTCATGTAAGAGAATATGTTGGATTTATTTCACTTAACATTATGGTCTCAAGGAGCACACATTTTTCTACAGATGACTCAGTTTATCCTTCTTTATGGCAGAGTAATACTCCATTATGTATGAATACCACATTTTCTTTATCTGTTCATCTGTTGATGGACATATAAGCCACTTTCGAGATTTAGCAATCACGAATTGTGTTGCTGCAAACATGGGCATGCATGTATCACTATAATATGATCCCTTTAACTCTTTCTGGAAGACACGAAGCTGGGTCAAATACAATTTCTATTTTCAGTTTTTTGAGGCATCTCCATTCTCATGTTTCCATAGTGGTTTCACGAGTTTGCATTTCTACCAGTGCGAAGGGTTCCTTTTTCCTCATAGCCTTGCCAGCATTTGTTATTCATTTTCTTGAGGAGAGCCATCCTTTCTGGAGTAAGATAGAATCTCAGTGTTTCAATTTTCATTTCTCTCATTTTAACCTGTTTTGCATGCTTTGGATGGAACAGGGAAACACCAGACCCAAGTTTCCAGGAAGAGTTTTCTGGTCTCCTGCTCTTAAACATGCTGCGATCGGCAATAGAAGCCTCCAAGGACAAAGACAAGGTAGACTCACAAGAAAACCTCGCGTTTCTGGTTTAGATACCTAGGGGCCACAGTTGCAGCATAGCTGATAGTTCAGAGTGGTATAATATTCCTTAAAGTGGTCCCCAAAGAGTCCTCTTGTTCAGAGGGGATAGAGTCGACTGGTAACGTGGCCCACTCCATACTTTCACATTTTCTTTACTATCTCCTGTTTCATGAAAAATATCAGTGCCCTTTGTAATATTACACAATATATTCATGTTTGTTACAATATTAGTGTGATATTTAAATATATGTAAATATACATAACTGTATAAAATATACACATATAAATAAATATATAAAAATATGTGTGTGTATAACTGACAAGTTAGAAAAATGTAATAACCCTGGGTTTGACTATTTTCATAATAAATTTTAAAAGCATAAGCTAGGCCTTTAGGTCATGTGTACATAGGTTCAAGTCCTGGCCTGCCCTGCCTGTACTTTTAAAACTTATTGTGCAAGTTAACCAGACCTCACCTTGCAGAGTTCTGAGGTCTTGCATCCTTAAAGTGGGGTCCACGTTGCATTAGCTGTCTTGCTTTGAGAAATCTAGGATTTCCTGGGCTTTTTAAAATGGAAATTATACTTTCTCAAAGCTCTACAGCAAAATAAATTTCTGAAGCTTTTATATGTTGTTCTAGGTAAAAAGCAATGCAGTCCGGGCCCTTGGAAATTTGCTTCATTTTCTGCAACCGTCTCATATAGAAAAACCTAGATTTGCTGAAATAATTGAAGAGTCTATCCAGGCCCTAATTTCTACTGTTCTAATCGAGGCTGCAATGAAAGTTCGATGGAATGCATGCTATGCAATGGGAAATGTGTTTAAAAATCCTGCCCTTCCACTCGGTAAGATTGTTTCCCCCTCCTCCTTGGTAGAGAACCTCTTCGGGAGGCACACACCAGTCGACACTGTTGTCAAAGATGTTTGTCGTGTTTTTTTGTCACGTGATTACAAAACAATGGAAATATACTGGAAACCCAAGTTTAGGGGATTGGTGAAGTCAATCATTGTATGTATATATCCAGTGGGATATTTTATTGCCTTTTAAAATTACATTGGCAACTTTTTTAATAATCTGAGGAACTATTTTTTGTTAACCACTTACCAGTCCAATTGTTTAAATACAGGAGGACCAAAACTTGCATTTTTTTTTGTTAATGTTTACAACAGGAAATACAAAAATGACAATTTATCAAATTTATTCAATATAAGAATTGACTGGTTGAAATGACACCTGCACAAGCAACACTCAGGGTAAACTGATCAGTGGTTAAGCAAACTGAAGCAGGATATTAAATTGTGTCTGCATTACAGTTTCAGTAGATGAGATAGACAAAGAGAAAAGAAATGGGCCCAGTTGTTTCCAGGGGTTGCCTCTGGATAGAATGATGAGTAGGGTTTTTTCCTTTCATTTCTAAATTGTCCACAAGGGGCATATGTTGTTTAAATGATCCCGGAAAAACAGGAAGACACTGGAATGAGAGACAGAGAGTACAGATTTGAAATCCCATGAGCTCTCAACACAGAAGTGGAGAGGGCATCTGTCTCTGTCGTGTCATCATGGCAGGACGCGTGCCTTGATAATATCCTCGGGCCAGTGGTAGCTTAGGGATGTGGATGACAGCCTGCTGAGCCCTGCACGGTTAATACCGGCATTTGACTTATACGCCTGCCTCTGCCAAGGCTTGGAGCCTCAGCAGGGCGTGTGCCTGAGACAGGAAAGCTGTTGTAGGCCCGGAGCACAGGCACCAAGTGAGGGCATCAGGCTCTGCTCTCGTTATTGCCCAGAGGCACAGGCAGAGCAGCCAGGCGGAGCTGCTGGAGAAAGACTTGTGGCTTTTTCCACTGAGGAGGCGGAGTGCCGAGGGATCACATAACAAAAGGGAAAAGGAGACTGACAGAGGAGGAACAGCATAAGATTCAAGAGCCTCGAACACTGGCCTCTTGTAGATGGCAATAGCATCCATTTAGAAAGGGCCTGTTCACCTGTCTTCAAAGGCACAAAGAAGGGAGGAAGGGCTTGGAGAGGGAGAGAAGCTGCATTCCACTCGGTGCCGTCCTGGAGAATAAGGACACCTCAGAACAGAGGGTGGCGGTAGCTCTGGGGAGGAGGAAATTAAGCTGATTTGCTGCAGCCTATAGGAACGGGAAAAGAAATCTGATCGTCTTATTCTTGAAATTAGAAGTTTTGTATTTCTTTGCAATGAAATGCATGACTTGCTGTGGTGAGAGCAATGTCTGCATGCTAGTCTGGGTGAGGAAATACCTTTTAGCTAGCATGAACAGCTGCTGCCTGTATTTGTGTAGGTGTATACTACTCACCAGTGTCCAGGGGTGGGGGCGGCTGCAGTTCACTCTGTCCATGCACCTCCCACCAAGCCTTCCCTTTTGGACAGAGTCCTCTCAGAAAAAAGCCTTTTTCTGAGTCACCAAGGTCCTGTATTGGGTAGCAGAGGCCCTTAGCAAGCTGCAGGCTGGTCTAGGGAAAAGGGGGCAGTGTTGAGCCACTTACCTGGGATCCTCAGGTTAGTCACTCACTGCCCTGAGCTGAAGGATTACTATGGGAATGGAACGAACAGATAAAACAGCTGCCTTACCCCTAGTGTGCATGCTTCCCCCAAATCCCTCTCCTGCACACCCGTCTTCCAAGCCTCCATTAGTTTCTGTGGCTGGATTCTTTCTAGGCACAGCGCCGTGGACCTCCCAGGCCTACAACGCCCTAACACTGGTTGTGACATCATGCAAAAACTTCAAAGTGCGCATCAGATCGGCCACGGCCCTTTCCGTCCCAGGCAAGAGAGAGCAGTACGGATCCGTAGAGCAGTATGCTCAGATCTGGAACTCGCTGGTCATCGCCTTACAGAAGAGCGAAGACACCACAGACTTTCTGGAATTCAAATACTGCGCCAGCCTCCGGACCCAGATCTGCCAGGCATTGATTCACCTTTTGAGCTTGGCCAGTGCCTCAGATTTGCCCTGCATCAAAGAAACCCTTGAACTGAACGGGGATATGATCCGGTCCTATATCCTACAATACTTAAAATCAGGAGAAGAGGGAGAGGACTCTGGAGCTGGCCACAGCCCGCAGGAGAGAGACCAGATGGTTAAAGTGGCCCTGGAGCACATACACAGTGTTCAGGAACTGGCTGGGGACACAGCCAAAAAGGCCATCGTGGGCTTTTTAGAAGATACCCTGGCCATTTATTTTGATTCTTCTGATCACAAGTAGCACTCCTAGGATCCTCAAACCAGTGACTATTCCTGTATACTTTTCAGATGTCAAATATGACAGTAGGAAGACCCAAGCACGAGCGTAGGGTATGTGAGGGTTAATCTTGGAAACAGGAGCAGTCTGCCCGTTATTTATTTAGAATGGGTTAGCAGCTCTTTCAGCTCTGTTCAAAGGGCTCAGCCCCTGTGGAGAACGGCTTTCCTGCCATGGCCACGGGCAGAGGTGGTAGAACCTCTGCCGTGGGCAGCCTGGAGCCCGAGAATCAGGATGCGGGGTGGGATCCGCAGACTGGGAGGTTCTGCGGAATGCTTAGTGTTGGAAAATAAATAAATGAATAAAAAAGTAAAAGACTATAAGAATTACAGTTTCTAACTGGGAGTGTAATTTAGGCTTCATTATAATGGTAATAACTAAGACTGATTGGCTGCTTTTTATGTGCCAGGTATTCCAGATCATTGCCTAGATGCTTTGTCCTTATGGAGTTAAAACTTGTACTTCCCCGTTATAGGCAAGAATATACATTATATATTGTTTGTTTATTGAGACAGAGTCTTGCTATGTAGTTCAGGGTAGCCTTGAACTCGCTGCCTTTGTAGCCCAGGCTGGCCTTAAACTTGTGGCGATCTTCCTGCCCCAACCTCTTGAGTGCTGGGATTACAGAAACGCACGACCATACCTGGCTTGTAGCATTTATTACTTTTTTCAACTACCCTTTTGATTTGTTTGGGTGTTTTGTTTTGTTCTATTCAGTTTTGTTTGTGCATTCTTAAACCTAGGAGATGCTGAAGTACATTCCCAGCTCCTTTTACTTTATATTGAGACATGATCTTACTAACTTGGTTGGGCTGGTCTTGAACACAGCTGTCCTCCTGCCTCAGCTCCTAAGTGGCTGGGATTCCAGGGCATGCCAACGTGCTGGCCTTCCTTTCTTATGCCACCACACCCGGCTGTTTTTTGTATTCTTTTTTTAGGTACATGTTTGCAGCACATGAAGTTTCATTCATCTTGAGGAGTAGATACATGGATGTAATAGTTTCTTTAGTTTTCTTAATCCCCGCCCACTTCCCGTCCTGCTCCCTCCCTCTTCCTCTAAATACCCTTTCCCCATTTTCATTCTTGTTGTTGTTATTTAATCTTAGTCTGTTTTTTGTATTCGTGATGATAGCCATTCTGACTAGGCTAAAGATACTGAGTATTTTTTCATATACTTATTGGCCATTGATACTTTTAAGAAATATCTTCAATTCACTTGCCAGTTTATTGACTTGTGCTATTTGGGGAGTTTGTGCTTGTGTGTTTTGGGGAGGGCATTACATTTTTTGAGTGCTTTATATTTAGATACTAACCCTCTATGAGAAGAGTAGCTGGCCAAGATTTTCTCCCACTCTGTAAGCCGTCTCTTCACTCTATAGATTCTTTCCTTTTGCTCTTTGAAAGCTTTTTAACTTGATGTAGTACCATTTGCTCATTCTTGCTGTTCCTTCCTCTGTTATTAAAGTCCTATTCAGGAAGTCTTTGCCTGTGCCTATGACTTCAAATGTTTCTCCTTTTTTTCCCTAGCATTTTCAGAGTTTCAGGTCATATTCCTAAGTTTTCAAAATTAATTTTTCTACAAGGTGACAGGGACCTAGTTTCAATTTTTTATAGTATACGGGTACTTAGTTTTCTTGACACCATCTGTTGAAGAGGCAGTATTTTCTCCCAGCATACATTTTTGGTGCCTTTATCAAGAATAAGATGGGGCTGGGGATATAGCTCAGCAGTACAAGTGCCTGCCTGGCAAGAGCAAGGTCCTGAGTTTGATTCCCAGTTTAAAAAAAAAAAAAAGAATAAGATGGCTGTAGTGCATGAGCTTTTTTTTTTTTGGTTTTTTTTTTTTTGGTTTTTCTCCGGTACCGGGAACCTAACTCACGACCTTGCGCTTGCCAGGCAGGCGCTTTTGCCGCTGAGCTAAATCCCCAGCCCCAGTGCATGAGCTTATTCTGTGTCTTCTGTTCCATTTGTCTGTGTGTCTGTTTTTGTGCTGGTACCATGTTGTTTTTGTTATTATGGCTTTGTAGTATATTTTGAAATCGAGTATTGTGATGCCTGCAACATCAATCCACAAACATGTATATGTCTCAACTCCACACGAAGAATGTAAACAGTATGTACTGCAAACATGTACCCAAAAAATAGGAAGGGGATCAAGAGATGGATGAAGAGAGGAAGGATGGGAGAGAAAGGAGACGGAAAAAGGAACTAAGATGTATTATGTACATGTACCTACTCCACACAAGGAATGTTAATATTATGTACTACAAACATGTACTGATGAAGAAAATGGTCGGAAAAAAAGGAAGAAAACACATTCATAGACACACTAAAAATAACAAAACTGAGCCAAAATAAACCTCTCCTTAAAAAAAAATACAAGTGGAAGCAGCAGTTTATCTTGAATACCTTAATGGTACAGTACAAGTAAATTATAGCAGTGTGGCAGAACGGCCAACAGATGGAGACAGAGAACACAAAGTCCTTCTGTAAGAAGGTTGAGCCCTACTTTTTCTCCTGGGCATCAGATTGCTCTCAAGGGAAACACCGGGTCAGCCCTAACTGCATGTTGAGATCACGTGGGGGAGCTACAATAACTGATCTGTCCCCACAGAACCTGAATTCTGTGACCTGAGGGATGGTCTTCCCATTGGAAATTTCAGAAGCTGCACAAGTGATTGCAATACCAGCACAGTTAGACCTGCCGCTGGCATATGCAACAAAGGGGTCTGAGCTGATGAGTTGCAGAACCATCTGGGGAATTTGTGGAAAACAGAAGCCCAAACTGTTGGAGTCTTCATTCTCTTGATATCTAGTTTGTTAGGCAGTAGTGTAAAGTTGAGAATCGAACATATAAAGTACTAAATCAGATAGTATCCCACAAAGTGCTAATGTATCAGAGTAACTGGACATCAGATGTTTAGGGAGCTGTGTGGGGTTGGTGCTGGGGTTGAACTCAGCCTTGCACACATTAGGCAGGTGCTGTACTACTGAGCCAGGTACCCTTAGACCCTAAGATAATTTTACAGGAGAAAAATTTTCATTGAGAGGACACTAACCAGCAAGTCAGGGGTCTCCTTTCCACAGAAACACAGGTCACACCTGTGTCAGGCATCCACAGAGGTTTAAGATTGAATGTGATTTCATGGCCTCGTGTCAGGGAAGAGTAGGAAGGCTCGGCACCACCTTCCTTTTCTTTGACCAAAGTGCTTAAATTATTTTAATATTAGAGCCATGGTAGAACATTTGTCTAAATAACGTGTATTGTTTTTTCATATTATAAAAGCAACGTGTTCATTGTGGAACATTTAAAAAATACAAAGTAAGAAATGTATGTAAGTAAAAATTACTTGGTAGCATCCTGAGATAATCAGTATTACCATTTTGATATGTTTTGCTACAGACATTTTTATAGTGTACACGTGTGTGAGAGTATATACTATACACACAGACAACATGAATGTCCCCAATCCCATGTATTTTGTGGGGGTTGGGGGAAGTACTGCGGATTGAACCCAGGGACTTGGCACTGAGCTACATCCCCGACCCTTTTTTTTTATTTTGAGACAGGGTCTTGCAAAGTCACTAAATTGCCTGGGCTGGCCTCAGATTTGGGATCCTCCTGCGTTAGCTTCTCAAAATGCTGGGATTTCAGGCATAAGCCACTAGGCCCAGGCTATTGTACGGGATTAAGCTACAAAACTGTGGTCATATGCTGTGTACTTTTTGTAGTCTGCTTTTTTAATAGTAAGTTGTGCGCATTGACAATTCTAAAATGTGGCATTAAGGACTAGATACTAGTCAGCTGCGCCCTTACACAGTAATTGAACCAATTCTCTATTGTTGGACATTGTTTTCCAATCTTGGGATGATTTACGTGTAACTCCTTAACAGACAGCGAATCTTTTGATGTGTGGTGGGAGGCAGAGAGGTGGCTTTCTGACTGAGCACTCGGCCAATTATCTGTGCACCGCTGATCTGCCAGTCCATCCACCCTCCCCCATGATGTGGCAGCCCTCCTTGCTCATTTACTGCAGCCCCGTGTTCCCGCAGGTCTTGGACTCCTCACCCTGCCGCCCTCCTATTCCCATACTCGTCCCAAATTTTTTAAATTTTATAACAATGGCCAGATAACCAACCGGGTATGTCTTCCTTGGCTCCTGGACTGCATAAGGCTTAACACTTTTAGCTTGGGACTGTCAGCAGCAGCTAATTATTACCGAACATTTACTAGTGACTTTTAAAATAGGCACTTCCTATTCAAGAGGAGAAAGATGTTTTGAAGATTGTGGAGCGCACTCTTCTTTATTAACTCCAGTTGTTCTTAGAACACCCAATACTACAACAGTGTGTTGTGATCGGCTGTTTACCTGGCCGCCTTCCTGCCAGACAGTGAGTCAGTTCTTCCTGTCCTCTCCACCTTTCCTCACTCCACTCAGCCCCACCCAGCCGGGCGCAGAGCAGGCTCTGAGCAAGGGTCTGTTGATGAATTAGGAAGGTATCAATATCCCCTTGTACAGGTGAGCAAACTGAGGCCTCGACAGGAAAAATGACTAGCTCCGAAGATAGTGCCTTTCAAGGGCAGGGCAGGAATTGAGGATTCCTTGGAGAACCACTCTTTGTTCGGCGCTATTCCCTGCACAGCTCTGCTACCATGTGTGTGCAGAGGCCGGATACAGGAGAAATCAGAAGACAAAGAGTGGTTATTTTCAAGTTTGTTGGAGTCACCGTGTTTGACTCTGGTCTTTCCTGCATATGGTTTTCCTGGTCATTCAGGAGCCGAGAAGAAAACTTTCACACAGCGTTGCTTTCAGCTGGAGCAATGCATTAGGGATAAAAGCAGCCTCCAGGATCAACCAACCCAAGCACCCACACCTCACAGGAAACCAAGGCCCCCTACAGTCACACTCATGGTAGAAGAGAGGAGCCCTTTACGGTACTCTTCTGATTCACAGGAAGCAAGGTTCTATCGGCATGGGCTGAGCAGCAGTAAGGAGCCAGTGGTTTAATGCTCATAGAGACCTCCAGCACCAGCAGCTGACTGCAGCCTGCAACAGCTCCAAGACAGTGAAGCCCCTGTGGGGAGTGGAGAGAGAGGACTAGGCAGGTGGGCCGTGGTGTGCTCCGTACCCACTGTTCATATGCTATACGCTTCATACCTTGCAAGGACAAGACAACAAGGGAACTGTTCCCTGAGCCTGGAGATTTATGCTGAAAGAATGGTCAAGGGGTCTTCCGCCCCACTTGGGCCCTTAAAGATGGGTTCCTATGATGTATCTCTGGAAGGCTTGCCCCACCCCAGTCCCCTACACTGCCAACA